AAGAGAGGCTCCATCATTGTCCATCTCAAAGCCCGTCTTAAAACTAATTTTTACTCCCTGGCTTATGACACAGTCTGACCCAGACTTTTTATATGTTCTTAGTCTAATTAAATTGGCTTTTTTTTTACATATACTATTTCACTATTGTTATTTGTTGTGTCATGTGTACAGCACTTTGTTTTCAGCTGAGAGTTGTTTTGAAAGTGCTGCATAAATAAATTGCTTGCTTGCTTGATATGCTTATGTTATAGTGGCGTATTTGTATTGTTGTTGATATTAAAGTTAAGTTTGGGTTCCAGGGTTTGGTTCTTATAGTTATCATGTTGCTATGCTCAGTGTTTGTATTGTCTGGCCTTAGTCTTGTTATCTAGGTGTCGGTTATCATATGTATATATTATATCAAAAACGATGTGCCGGGTATCCGCTGCTCGTGCTGTGCTCTAGTAATCGTTGACCTCCCAGTCGGCTATTGAGCTGGTGGGTAACAGACATCTCCGAAAACACCAGAGCACGTTTGGAGATATGTGATATCTTGATAAATTGAGCAGATATTTGAAGCTTACACAGCTAGATTCTCACCTGAAAATAACTTAAAGGTTTATTTGTGAACCAGAAAGAGTAATATTTAAAAGATTTTAGCTGCCTTTCACCAGCATTGCCGCATTTGAGTTTTGGACAACATGCATTCTGGGACGACTGGGATACACACAAGTCACCACCTATGCATGCTCAGTAAAATAGGTGGCGCACGAACACATCCGGGAATTTTTCGCGTTCTCGGCTTGATGCTTACTTTGAATTGGAACAGTACTTGGTCTCGAACTGATGAAGTATCACGAGTATACGAGAACGCAACTATGCTTATTGAGACAGGGCCCTCGATCTCTGTTTCTGTGTTTCTCATACTCCCTGTTTTGAGATCCTCTATTAAATACATACATGCACACACACCTCTAACTGACCCATCCATCCATCCATCCATCCATCCATCCATCTTCTTCCGCTTTATCCGGGGCCGGGTCGCAGGGGCAGCAGCCTTAGCAGAGAAGCCCTGGCCAGCTGAGAGACATAACCTCTCCAGTGTGTCCTGGGTCTGCCCCGGGGCCTCCTCCCGGTGGGACATGTCCGGAACACTTCGCCCAGGAGGCATGCTTGTCAGATGCCTCAACCAGTTCAGCTGACTCCTTTTGATGTGAAGGAGCAGTGGCTCTCCTCCGAGCCCCTCCCGGATGGCTGAACATCTCACCCTATCTCTAAGGGAGAAGCCAGCCACCCTTGTATCCATGATCTCGTTCTTTCGGTCAATACCCACAGCTCGTGGCCATAGGTGAGGGTAGGGACGTAGGGATCTACATACCTACGTAGATCCTGTAAAAGCGAAGCCCCTGAGTGCTTCACTTTTATGCCCAGCTCTCTCTTCACCACGACGCATCACTGCGGCCGCAGCACCAATCCGTCTGTCAATCTCTGGCTCCCTTCTCTCATGATTCGTGAACAAGACCCCGAGATACTAGAACTCCTCCACTTGGGGCAGAACCTTGTCCCCGACCCGGAGTGGGCACTCCACCCTGAGAACCATGGCCTCAGATATGGAGGTGCTGATCCTCATTCCCGTTGCTTCACACTTGGCTGCGAACCATTCCGGTGCGAGCCAAGCCAGAGGCCATCACCTGATGAAGCCAACAGAACTACTGATTCCCCAGGCTTGGTTCCAGGGCGGGGCCCTGGTAACCCTATCCCGGGCAGGGTAAACTGTTCCCTCGATGATTTCCTCATAAGGGTCTTCTGTATCGCTCTTTGTCTGGTCCCTCACTCAGGACCAATTTGCCATGGGAGACCCTACCAAGGGGCAAAAGCCCCCGGACAACATCGCACCTGGGATCCCTGGGATCCCTGGCACACACAAACTCCTCCAACAGGATAAGGTAGTGATTCGTAGAGGGGCGAACTGGCCCTCCTCTCTAATTGATTTGAGAAGACATGTATTATTATTGATACTGATATATTTCACCTTTTTGGTAGCTCCATTATGTTCTCCTTGCAAGCTTGTGATGATCTGGAAAATCACATCAGATACAGTTCACGCATAAATCAAATTCCTGCATCTTTTCAGCAACTCCAGTCACACAATGAGACAGTGATGTCGTTTCAGAGAAATGAGGCCTCGTTTCTCTTTGGTTGTGAAGAACGATACAGGTATCCACTGGGCTTCATTCAGATACGCCTCCATTGCTCGACACAGGCCTGGGGGGTTCCAGTGTCAGACGTAACATCATTACTTACTACTGACCAATGTTTTTTGTGTTTTGAGAGGAGTTTAGCAATAAAGTTTTAGAACTCATCTTTGTGATGCGTTTGGGTCTGAAACCTGCTCACCACACAGCCGTACTATGACAGAACTAGCAAAGTGTACCCAATGAAGTGGCCAGTGTGTGTATTTTTCTTGACAAGGCAGTAAAGTTTCACTTCCAGTCCAGTTTGATCATGAGTCAAAATGATATAACATATATTCACTTTTGTCAGACACTACCAGCAGACTTAGCCTAAACTGTGTCTGGTGAAGCTTATGAAACAAGGAAAAACATGGAAGAGGAGGAGTGCAGATTTCAGTACAGAGAGCAGACTTGAACGCAGATCTCCTTTGCGATGAATTTATTTACAGTGCAAAAAAAAAAACAGTTCAGTGCATAATCTTTAGGTAGTGGTATCCAAAAGGGCATCAGAAACAATACATGATCTCAACAGTACTAACAGTACTAACAGTACTGGCTGGTTTCACCTGAGACACATGAAACACATTATGAATATGTATATTTCAAGGGAGGGTCAAATGCACAGTCACAGGATTGAGGACCTCTTGCACAGGAAAAGGACCGATGAATCTAGGAGCCAGCTTCTTAGACTCCGTCCTCAGTGGTATGTGTTTAGAGGAGAGCCAGACCTGTTGGCCAACTTGGTAAACAGGAGTCAGAACACGATGATGGCCCGGCAGTCTCTTGTTCTACTCTGCTGTCCTAAACAATGTTGTCCTAGTAGCCCGCCATGCTTGCCGGCAATGACGCACGTGATGTTGCACTGATGGGACTGCAAACTCGCCCTCTGTGATGGAAAGGAGTGGGGCTTGTTATCCCATCGATGCCTCAAAGGGAGACTCCCCTGTGGCCGTCGAGGTGCTAGCGTTGTGGGCATACTCCACCCAGGCCAAATGCTCACTCTAGGAGAACTGGTTGGAAGAGGCAACGCACCGCAACATGGCTTCCAGCTACTGGTTAGCCCTTTCAGGTTGGCCGTTAGACTGTGGGTGAAAACCACTATGATGGTGAGTATGGTGGTATTACCTGCTGACGGCGGCAGTCCAGTAACAATATCCACGGCAATGTGCAACCATGAGCCATGGGAGTGGTCGCAGGTGGCCCAACAGCTGGGAGCTTGGTGCCTTGTTTTGAGCACAAATTGGCCAAGGCCGTCGCATATTACCGGACGTCCGTGGCAAGGGAAGGCCACCAAAATAGACGTTGGAGGAATCTAAGTGTGAGATTCCGATCCAGATGGCAGGAGAACTTTGCCGTATGTGCCTAGTGGATCACCTTGCCCCAAACAACCACAGGGACGTACTGCCTGCCCTGACCCAGGGTCTGGATCCTGCTGCAGGGCATTTATGACCAGCCTCTCGATCTCACAGGTGACTGTCCCGATGATACAGGAAGCAGGAAGAATGGGTTTGTCCTTTTCCTCTGCATCCTCCACCAGTGAGAATTGACATGAGAGGGCGTCGGGTTCAGTGTTGCGTGAGCCTGGCCTGTAAGTAATCACAAGGCTGAAACAGGTAAAAAATAAGGCCCACCTGACTTGTCTGGCATTGAGGCGTTTAGCCGCTTGAAGATAGGCAAGGTTCTTGTAATCCGTCCAAACAAGAACTGGGTGCTCGCTCCCCTCCAACCAGTGATGCCAGTCCTCTAAAATTAAGTTTGATGGCAAGCAGCTCTCGATCCCCCACATCACAGTTCCACTCGGCCTGAGACAGACAACGTGAGAAGAAGGCATGTGGATGCAATTTACCTTCAAATCGCTGCGAGAGGACCGCCCCCACACCAGAGTCCGAGGCATCCACCTCCACTGCGAATGCTTGATTAAGGTCTGCCTGAAATAGAACAGGTGCAGAGGAAAACAGGCGTTTCAGAAGGTCAAAGGCCTGCTGCGCTGCTGATGACCACAGGAACTGCTGTTTGGGAGAAGTGAGATGAAGTCCCGAAGGACTTAATCCTCATGGCAGGATTCTTCTCAACAAAGAAGAATCCTGTCCTGAAGGGTGACGTGGACAGCCGAATAATGCTCGATGCAAGGGAATCTGTGATGTAACGCTCTATGGCCTTGCGCTCAGGCTTAGAAACACTGTACAAACGGCTGGTGGGCAGAGATGCGCCAGGGAGTAGATCAATACCGCAGTCATGGGACAGTGGGGTGGGAGTGACTGTGCTCGACTCTTACTAAACACTAATCCAATTGCCAACTCACGTGTTATCCTTTCATTGAAGCCGTTCAGGAAAGCTCCTCTAAGCACCTTCTCTTTCCAGCCCGTCTCCTCTACCAGGGTCCAGAACTCCATGGAGAAATCAGCCATACTCCTTCTGCCCATCATATGTTCTCTCAGAACATATGATGGGCATATGTTCTGAGAGAACATATGAACATATGCCCATATGATGGGCATATGTTCATCAAGACACACCTAAACACAAGTTTAGGTGTGTCTTTGAGCACACCTAAACTTGTGCTCAAAGACACAAGTTTAGGTGTGTCTTTGAGCACTTGTCAAAGACACACCTAAACTTATAATCTGGGTAGGAAACATTAGGATTGGTGCTTAAAACAGCTTGAGCCCACTTCAAAGCCCTACCCGTCAATAACTGAACAATGAGAGCGATCTTGGCACAGTCGGTAGCTATTATTATTCAGCTATTATTATAAATAATAGGGAAACAACTACCTATTGTGGCTAGATGTGGGTGAACTGTGGGACTTTGTGGGCAGGACAAACCTATACTTATCCCACTTGGGGGTGTCCACAAGTGCTCAACACCAGGTTTGACCTTTGGGGTTCCTATATGGGTTTTTCATAGAAAACAGTGATTTGCTGGGACAAGACAACTCAGTTGCCCATCTGTAGTTCAGCTGCCTGCCTTTCCTTTAAACTTCATTCTGTGTTATCTATCTTGTTAACCACAAGTAAAACTGTGCAGGACAAAATATATGGAGAATCTTAAGTGATATGCATGTCTCTTTGAAATATGTAAAGAGTGGGCTCTGGCCTGCAGGTCCCAATTTTGATATACGTGCTGGATTGAGCCACTGACCCATGGATAGGTAGATAAACTCTCAGACTATCAACAGTTTTCACCACTGACTGCACCAGATGTCACATTATTTCATGCCAAGTTGTGGACACTGTGAGGTGATCAAAACCTACCTTATATTTTCTTTCTTCTCTGGTCTGCTTCAGGTGTATTGACCAACAGTATGCTCCCACCTCCATCTCCCTAAAGAAAGTGAAAACCACCACTGAGATCAACATGCTAGCAACAGAAAGAGTCCTTCTGCTGCTTATCTCACTTCTGTCTTTTTTGTTTCATTGTGAACATTCACTTGCTTTTTCTCTAAAAGACTGCACAATCCTGTATTCTGAAAATTCAAACAACGTATCAGTTACATGTGCAAAGCGTCACCTCACTGCTATTCCAGATGACATTCCTGGTAATGCAGTATCGCTCAATCTCAGCTCAAATGACATTTCAAATATTTCCAGGATGGATTTAAGAGGTTTATCTAAGCTTGAAGCTCTATATGTTAAAAATAATTGGATTTTACAAATTGATGATGGAACTTTTGCAGACGTGGTAGAGTTAAAAGTTCTCGACTTGGGTGAAAATTTACTCACAGCACTGACAAAAAACATGTTTCAGGGTCTTTCCAAATTAGAGACACTGTCTCTGGACAACAACATTATCTCATTTATTTCCCCTGTGGTCTTTCAGCCCCTGGTCATCTTACGTTTAGTAGATTTGAGCAATAATTACCTGCATCAAATTTCAGATATTGATTATATTGTTAAACTTCCAACTTTACAACATTTGATTATTACTCACAACAACTTTACTTCGTTTCAGTCCAATGACCTCCATGTAAATACCTCAAACCTACTCACCCTAAGTTTGGATTCAGTGAAAAAGTTCAGCATTACAAGAGACATTTTTCCTCATCTGCAGTCTCTGGACTTGCGAGGCTGGTCCAAGGACATCGAGTGGGAAGTGTCAAACAAGACCTTTTTGAGGAGCCTAACGAGACTGCACATGAGTGAAACTTCTCTTAGCTTTGATGTGTACAGAGCGATTCTGCAGACTGCTTACTCTCTTCAAGAGTTTCAGATGGATAACATACAAAAGTGGATAGATGATGGTCTCATTGATGTTGCCTGCCAAATTCCTTCTCTAAGAACAGTTGATGTGAGAAATAGTGAAATTCACACCATAAAAGAGCACATGCTGCAGTCTTGCTCTAACCTTATTGAGCTCAACTTATCATTTAACAATATAAAAAGCATGGCTGATAATGCACTCCAGTCAATGACACAGCTCAGAAGCCTGATATTACAAAATAATAAACTGTCCGAACTGCCAGTGGCCGTCCAAGGACTCACCACATTGGAAGTCTATGACCTTAGTTCCAATGACATCAGTGAACTTTACTGTCCTTACTTCTGGAATTTAACAAGCCTAACAATACTCGATCTGAGCCACAATCAAATATCCTATATCTCTGACTGTGTTTTTCAAAATGTAAACAATTTGAAAATCTTAAATCTTGAAAACAACCAGATTATGTCATTTATAGATACATTCAAAGATAAATTACAGACATTGGAGTTTTTAAATTTGAGAAATATTGATATCATGAATTTTATTCATGGAGATTTCCGTAGTCTGTCTTCCCTTCAATACTTGTGTATAGACTTAGACAAGTGTTACAGTGTTGATGAAGGAGGGTTCGAAGGACTTGATAACCTCCAGATTCTTTATCTGTTAGGTGATAATTATTTTTATGACCATTTCAGTGGACTGTCAAACTTAAGCACTCTGATCTTAAATGTTGTTCAAAGCCAGTCACATAACAGCTCTGAACAAAGGGATAGGCCTTTCTCAAATTTACAAAGATTGAAGAAGCTTCATATCAAGGTTCATAGAGGATATTACGATATTTCAAAAGATGTTCTCAGTGGTTTGACTTCTTTAGAGTACTTAATAACAGAGGCATACTTCATGGGCTCTTTGTACCCAGACACATTTAAACACACACCGCAACTGAAACATCTTACGATTACTTACAGCGAGCTTTCAGTTTTAACATCTGATGTGTTCTTGCCAATTCCAAACCTGATAATACTCGACCTCTCCAACAATAAACTCAGGTCTTTGGATTTTCTAGCAGAGGCCAAACTGTCGGCACTCAGGTGGCTAAACGTCAGTGACAATGAATTGTTTGTAATCAGTGAAACAGTTATCCAATCCCTTCCAGGCTTGACATATCTGGATCTGTCTGCTAACCTTTTAACATGTGAATGTTCTAATTACGGTCTTATCCAGTGGATTCAAGGCAGCAAACAGACACAGGTTGTTAATGCACATCAGTACACTTGTGCGTTTCCTGTCAGCCAACGGGGAAACAAATTCCTTGACTTTGGTTTTGACTTCTGTCGGATAGATGCTGCATTGCTCTGCTTCCTTTTTAGCTCTAGTCTAGTTGTGCTTACTCTCCTCGCATCCTTCATCTATCACTTCCTGAGGTCACACCTCACCTATGCCTATTACCTCTTCCTGGCCTTTCTCTATGATAATAAGAGGAGGAAGAAAGGTATTCCTCACAGCTACGATGCCTTTGTCTCCTACAATGTTCATGATGAAGCTTGGGTCTGTGGAGAGTTGCTTCCAGAGCTGGAGGGTCAACAGGGCTGGAGACTCTGTCTGCACCACAGAGACTTTGAACCAGGTATATATGATTATCATTAGCCTCTTTTTTTCTATTTTTCTATTTTTAGATCTATATTTAATGGAGCTACTACACAAACTGCCTCATCTTTCCTTAAACTTGTACTGACAAAGATCAGGGTTTACACGACTGTTTTTTGTTTTGTTTTGTTCAAAATTTTAATACAATATCTTTACACAAATACAAATGGCTGATATGAAGTCAAACAAGAATACCAATCACACATGACCCAAAAAAAAAATTTGAATGCTAGATCTAGATATTTTAAGACTGACTATCTGGACAAAAGCTGCAAACTGATCTTTAAACCTCTAAAAGTAGACTTTAGATGTGCTGCTCAACTTTCAAAGCATCCTACATGTAGGAAAATGAAAGATTTACTCTGGAAAATATACAGTTAAGATTGGTCCAGTTTTTTCCTGAAATCATGAAATTGGGTTTCACATAAAAGAATATAGAAGTACAAAAACATCTGAATTCCAGAAAATATTAAAATTAAAGTCTGAGTCAGCACCAGTTATTACCCCAGAAGCTTATTGAATTGTGCTTTGCTTGTCCATTACACAAAAAGTCCCACCAAAGGCTGTGACTGGAATTTAGACACTACTGTAGATCCTGCTCTTCTCAAAAGTGAGAATACCTTTGAAATGTTTTAACTCATAGAAAAGGCTACATTTTATGTTGTCTAAGGAGCTTGGAAACAATAGACTACAATGACCGGATAACTGAGAACCTTCACAGACATACATTTTATGTTATTCCCCAGAAAAATGCTGAAATGTTGGATGTCTCAGATTTTTGTTTAACGTCTCAGATTTCTGTTTTTACAGGTAAGCCCATTGTCGAAAACATTACAGATGCCATCTATAACAGCAGAAAGACTATCTGTGTGATCAGCCCAAATTACCTCCAGAGTGAGTGGTGCTCCAAAGAAATCCAGATGGCCAGGTATGGTTACCAACTCTTTGTCCTTACATGTAATGACATCGCCAGCTTCTACACTGATTAATCTGCGTGTGATGTCTTCAGCTACCGTCTGTTCGATGAGCACAAGGATGTGCTGATCATGGTGTTTCTGGAGGACATACCAGCCAACCAGCTGTCTCCGTACTACCAAATTAGGAGTCTGGTGAAGAGGAGCTCTTACTTGAGCTGGCCACAGGCTGGTCAACACACTGGAGTTTTCTGGCAGAAAATACGACAAGCTCTCGAGAGAGAAGAAAACCCCGCTGAGCACACGTGACTCCTCACTGGACAGCCCATAGTCATCCACTGAAGTTTACCTGAGGTGGAAAAATCATTGTTTGTTTGTATAAAGCATATATAATTATTGCAAATGAGAATAAATCAGGGTATGCTTTACAGTGAGACTGACAAGTTGCTCTTCTTATCCTTTTGTATTCGAAGGAGCTTGGGAAAGAAAGCGTCTGGACTCCAAGTTGCTTGAAGATGTTTCACCTCTCATCTGAGAAGCTTCTTAAGTTCTAGGGTCAAATGGTGGAGAGTCACAGATTTAAGCCCTGTGGGAGTGTCCCTCCGAGAGGGACAATGGACCCTCTAATGATCCTCTACCTAATCACACAAGCCAAGGTGTGAAAATGGGTGTAGGTCACAATCAGCCAAGGTTTTGGGTGAGCTCATTGTGAAACCTAGCCCCACCCTATCATGTGATTTCCTGAGGTCAGATGGCCCAGGATATCCTTTGGTATCCATGTCAGATTCACCCCCTTACGTTCAAAATACCAAAATGAAGATTGCAGACATGCTCAACTTGAGGCTTCATAATGGGACTTCTCCAGCTGGTGGATAATGCTGTGGTGGCTCCATCCATCTTTCATATACAGTTTATGTAAAGAACAAGCATAGTTGTGTTTAGAGGTGCAAATATAAATATAAAAATGTGGTTAGGGTTGTACATATTTTTTATATTGTTATATTTAACTACTAATCAATAAGTCCTAATAATAGAACATATCAATCGACTGTCATTTTTAAACCATACATGGAATATTATGGCCTTTGTGACAGTTGGAGTTTAAACCACCCTGATGATCAAGAATTCACTTACTTTTCCAAGTCCATCATTCATCATCGAGAATATATTTATTCCCCCAGCTAGTAATTCCCATCATCCAAATACATCAGAAACACAATTCCACTCAAGGGCACTAATCGATCATAAACCTGTCTCTTTGAAACTCAATAAAAAATGGCAACAAAAATCGACCACCTGATGGTGCTTGAACACATCTTTGCTAAAAAAGTAGGACTTAAATAATATTTTAAAGAGAATGGACATCCTTTTTGGATATAAATGATTCTCCCAACATTTATTAACTTCATTATAGGAAACTGGCATAGCTGTTTTAAGGGGCAGGATTATCTCATACTTATCCTATAAAAAGGAAAAAGACACAATTTGGAAGAAAAAATTAAAATGTTGAAAAGAAATTGCACAGCAACACTTTTGAAAAGCTAGTGTGTGATTTAAGAAAACACAGACTTGATTTAAATGTGTTGTTAAACACAAAATCACAGTTTCTTATACAGCGGTTGACACATGAGAAATCTGAATACAATAATAAATAAATCAGATAAATATCTAGTAAAGCTATTTAGTCAAAATAAAGACAAAAAACATGTAGTTATCAAAGACTCAGCAGGGAAACCTTTTCATTATCTTCCAGATATAAATAATGTTGTTAGGACGTTTTACATGCATCTATACACTTCTGACCATGACCCAAATATGGAAAACATTCACAAATTTCTGAGTGCTATAGATCTGTCTATTTTAACACAAGATCAAGGTACGATGTTGGAAAAACTATAGCTCTAGAAGAACTATTCTTAATCAAATACTCTGTAACAAGGCATCTAGCCCAGATGGCATCCCTGCTGAGTTCTACGAACATTTCTGGCCAACCCTGTCCTCGCTATTCATAAGAATGGTTGAAGAATTTATGATTATGTCTAGAAGTCCTCCAACCATGAATACTGCAATAATTAACCTTTTGTTAAAACCAGAGAAAAATCCCAATCAGCCAAATTAGGCCACTTTCTCTGGTAAATACAGACATTAAAATGCATCCCATTTAGAAAAAGTAATTCCAGCCCTTATCCATCCTGACCAGACAGGTTTTATTAAAGGCAGACATCCCACTATAAATATTTGTAAACTATTCAACTCCATGCAGCTTTCAGAGTATCAGAAAACTATAATCTTATCAGTCGATGCAGAAAAAGCATTTGACAAAGTCTGCTGGAAATTTCTGTTTGAGTGACTATGAGTTATAGTTATTTCCCATATTCTTGTTATAATTGTGTTATTGCTATCATTGTCATTATTATGATTACTGGTGATGAGTATTATTCTGATTATTGTAATAATTCTTTCCTCAATTGCATTAATCCTGGACTGAATAGAAATTAATGTACTCATACTCGTATTTTTCTGTAAGTTCCCTAATCTGTTCTCCTCTACTCTGTATGTTGTATATTTCGTGATAATAAGAAAATAGGGAAAAAAGAAACGTTTAAAATTTTAATTGTTAGGAATTAAAATTATACTTCTATTTCAAATGCTAAATGTATTGTTCTTTTTTCTCAGTTTACATTGTTTGTATTTAAACGTATGATTTACTTAAAAAGTGTTAGAAAATAATAACTAGTATGTTTTCCTGTTACTAACATTCATACTAACAACTGTGACACAAATATGTCTTTGGTGTCCTGATGCTTACAGGACTCGGTGTCCTTAATTACATTTAATCTTTGGTTTAATCTTCACAACAGCCCACTGCAAGTTTCCCTAGTGCTTTACCTGCCTGTCACCACTAACTGAGGGCTTGAGTGAGAGACAGTACTTTCATCTTAGACACATCAGTCATTTCAATTCATTTGGTTCTTATTTTTCAAAACAGCAAAAGAATAGGAGTAACTAACAGTTTGATATGGTTGTTAATCTTAAATGGCACACTATAAGTGTTTGTACTATATAATTTTACTGTAAAAACTGTGTGAGAGTGGTCTATTGCTCAGTGAAAATGGCTTTTTTCTTTGCAGTTTCACAGTTTTGAAAAAGGTTCAAGTTGCTGTCATTTGCATGTTTCCTCCTGAAAACAAAACTCAATTCTAGAGAGAGAGATAGCGTGATAAGAGATAACTCTTTATTGTCATTGCACAGTCTTACCTAGTACAATAGTACGACAAAAGTGGAAACTGTCCCCAGGTCGGCACCAGAGATGGGCAGTAACACGTAATCTGATTACTTTTTTCAGGTAACGAGTAAAGTAAGGGATTACTATTGCAAAAACGGTAATTAGATTACCGTTACTTCCTACGTTCCTACGGGAAAGTACCGTTACGTTACTTTCCCGTAGGAACGCTGCGTTACTGCGTTACTAAAACCGTGATTTTTTGCGAGAATATCTCACAACAGTGACGTAAGTGAGTGCGACGTTCGTGACAACAGCTGTGTGCAGATCAACAATGGATCATATATCGAGTGCAGGAGAGAGTATGAGCGTGCAGCGTTTAAAGCGTGGAAGTACTGACCTTATTTTGAGTTTGATTCCATACAAAGTGACAAAAACATTAGTGTCCGTTGTGCGTGGGAAGAAAAGTTCTTTTTACAGCGAAAAAAATCCCCCTAAACTTCCAAGCAAGCACCAGGAGTGCGCTACCACGTAATGGGAAATTCACAGAGAAACTCACGGATTCTTCCACTGACCGCTGCGGCACACCTGCACCAGGGTAAACCTCCGCCTACCCCACTCCTGCTTTACAGTTGAAAATAGAGCAACAGGACCGCTGTGTCTTTGATGTTATTTATTTTCTGCTGTGTTTTACTTGCATCTATTTGAAAGACTGAGTGTAAACACAAAAAAATATATATTTTATGTGCTGGAATGTGCAGAAAATAGGTTTAAATGTTAAACAAATTTCTTCCAGTCAGAGAATGTTGTATATAATTAAATTTTTGCTCGATACATAAAGTCTGTGAAGGTTCTCTTCTTAAAGAAGTCCAGATGCTTTTCTTTGCAAGCTCCTTTGACCTTACAGAAGACGTTACAGGTCTGTGAGAGCCAGAGATTTTCCTTGTTTGAGGTGACCAAATACTTATTTTCCACCCTGATTTACGAATAAATTCTTTAC